AAGGTCTTTTCCAACCTGGTTGATTCTATTGAATGTCCCATTAGAGTGAACATCTTAATTATTCAAAGCCAATAAAAATGAAAACATGCCAATATCACAATAAGCTGGAAAATCAGCAGCCTTGGTCCTGAGTATAAATGTGTGTGGGAAGTCCCCTTAGCCCTGGATGCGCTCAGGTACAGGAGTATGCAGGCACATCCCAGCAAATAAATCCGTGTCTCGGTCTGTGGTGATCTCTTCATTAGGAAAAAAAAAAATTCCTCCTTTGTTACCACTTGTGAAGACCCTGAGAATAAATGAGTTTTGGAGAAAGGAGATGCAGGGCTGGGCTTTGGCTTCTGTAACCAGAAAATCCTCACACCTCTTCCAAGTGAGACTGCAAAGCTTTCCATTTTGAAAGCCCAAAAGGAAAAATAGTGTTTAATCCTCATGGAGGTGGCGAAGGGGATAGAGGAAAAAAACCAAACGTTTTTTTTTCCTTCCCCCCCTCCTCATCTTGGTCTGAATCTCTTGGAAAAGGAGAGAGCTTCATTTGGTGAAATAACTCATTTGGAATATCAATTCTCCATCAAAGAGACGTCCCAGACATACCGAGCTGTCAAGAGGCTTGTCAGTGCCACATGCAAGCCTTCAGAAGTTACCTCTGAGGAGGGAAGATGTTAGAAATCTTTCACACACTGTCTCCATTTCTTGCTAAAACAACTCTTAATTAGTTCTTTTTCTTCTTCTTTTTCTTTTTTTTTTTTTTTTCTTTAAATATGCAGCACCAGGGAAAAATTGGAGTTAAATTTAATGTTGGAACTGATGACATCTCAATTGAAGAGATCAACGCAATCATTAACGATGGAAAATACCATGTAGTACGGTTCACAAGAAGTGGTGGCAATGCCACATTACAGGTGGACAACTGGCCAGTTATCGAACGTTACCCAGCAGGTAAGGGCTTACACAAACACTTGTGAGTAAGGGGGGGGGGCATGCCTGGAGTTCGGCTCATTTTGCTTCTCTTCTAGTACATCAGCTCCTTCACAATGTCTTACTAGCTAATTGAGTAGTTAGAGTCCTGAGCAATATGCCATTTATGATGATGGCATTTCCTAAGTGAGTTTAAAAGCACAGATTCAAGTTATTACTGGAAATGGAAAAATACAGTTATCAAGGCGTGAAATAGTGGTTGTGTTTCTTGTTTCATTTGTTTTTATTGGATGATTGTTGCAGGGGGGGAAAAAAAGGCTTTGACAAAAGCTAGTAAGTGAAGTGACTCCCAAATCGATCTCCAAGTGACGGGGATTTTACTGAATTTACTGAGGAAAAGGTTGTCTGCGTTCTTTTAATTAGAAGTTGATATTAAAGGAGTCTGAAGCTTATGAATTTAGCAGAAGCGTTTCAGCAGGCATAACGATCCCTGGAGACATCCAAGGCCAGGCTGGATGTGGTTCTGGGCAACCTGATCTAGTTGAAGATGTCCTTGATCATGGCAGAGGGTTGGACTAGATGACCTTTGAAGGTCCCTTCCAACCCAAACTATTCTATGGTTTTATAGCCAAAAGGTATATCAGTTATCAATTGTACAGCCAACCAAATTAAGATGCCTTCACTTAAAACACAAACTACAGGGTTCCTTGAACAGCACCACTTGCATGAATACAGAGTTGCCTTGATTGGACCCATATTTACTTCTATGCAAATGCCATGCACTGAAGACTACTGTGTTACTAAAATTTTATTTATTTTTAAGGGCAACAGGTTTTTCAGACACACAATCCCTTTCTTATTGAATAGGACTACTGATCCATTAATGGTAACTTGCAAATCCACATGTTCTCTGTTAACAGTTGGTGTGTTTTTATATGAGTAAACAAAAGGCAGCAAATCCAGACATGTAAGTGCGAGATACTCTGGTTTGCGTATTTTGCTACTGCATAAATGACAGCTCTGATTTATCTGTTTATAAGTAGAACATTCTTCATTTTGGGGACAGAGTGATACAGGAGGGTATTTTTCACTGATAAGGGACACATAAGCCACTCCCTGTACTGATTATTAGCGTTTAGTTGGATTTTGGGGGAGGTTGAGTTATAAAGTCAGGTGAACAGCTGGACTACAAAAAGTAAAAATAATACAAAAAAAAAATTCCACAGGTGAAATATAATGCTTCAGATAATTTCTTGGAGATACTTTAGAATTTAAAACACAAATGAAAGTATGCATCACAAGTGGAATTCTGTATAGCAGGAGTTGTTAAAAAACCCACCTGTGTGCTAATGCGTTATGAATGAGTGACAGTTCTGGCAGTTAGAAACAATTACTGTCTTTAAGTTGGGTTCATTTCTGAGAGGGGATAAACTCTTAAGGAAAGAGGGATACTGAATGAAATACGTCCTTTGCTCTTTCAGATATTCCTGTTTCCCACATGTTCCCCTTATTTTCTAACTTTTTGCAATGTTTGGTAAATGGTAGCTGAAATAAGATGGTAGAAGTCAGGGAGGTGTGTGTCTTTGTGCTCAAGATCTATGTAGCAGAAAGAGAAAAATAAGGTTTGGGGTAATTTTTTTGTTTCTTACCTAACTAATGAGCATGAAAATATTTTTCTTTTTCCTTTCTGTTCTGTTTCTTCCTGAAAATACGAAGTGGCTGCAACAAGGACAAACTGCAGTTCTGTAGATAGTGGTACACAGAATTTGTTTATACTGACCATAGATCAGTTTAGGAAATAGAGTGATTTCCTTGGGATGGGATTAGTGGAGGGGATGTTTTCTTTGAAAGGGCAAAACTGCACATTAGAGCTTCTTGAGCTTCCTTTAGCAATCTGTGCACAAGATGCATTTCAAGGCATTTTCAGTGGCTTCATCAGCCAGTGTACCGAATCCCTTCACTTGCTTTATTGCTGGGTCTTCCAAGACTGCTGTTGGCCTTTAATTTTCTTTGCCTTTCCCATAGTAATACTTTATGGCTCTTGTATGCCATAGCATTGCTTTTGAAATCCAACCTCCCCCTTTTCTCCTTCTGTCTCTTCTCCCTCCCCAGCACAAAAGCATCCAGCCATACCTTTCTCTTATGTTTTCATGTTGCTCCATCAGGTTTCGCACTCCTCATTTAAACCCTTTTTAAACACTAGTTTACACACAGACCTGTATTGATGTACCTTTTGGAAAAGATGCAGGCTTGTCCTGAAGACTCTGCTGCCTTTGAGCAAGGTTGGTACTGCTTTGAAGATATTAATAGCACCCTGTTCAAAGCTACCACTGTCATTCCTGTTCTAAAGGTAATATTTCTAAAAGTGACATCTTAAGGATATCAAACAGCACAGTTTGGCCACTGTCGCTGCGTCCAATTTAGATGTGCTTCTGCTGTTTGGGAAGCAACAGTAGTACCTGGCAGTACTGGTTAACAAGCTTACTTGCTCTTTGCTCATGTTTTGAGTGGAGGATACATTGCAGTTGTACACTGTGCACCAAACTTGATCCTGTTTGCATGAGTGAGACCTCATTTGCTTCCATTTCAGTGCTAGAAAGAATATTTTTTGCTTTGTGCCTGTTTTCTATATAATTTCTTTATGTGCCTGTGCCACTGTACCTGAGCACAGACTTGCCTCTCCTACTCCTGGGTTTTTTTTAATTAAGAGAAATGAGATCAGCAGCTTCAGTAGTAAGTTTGCTATTCTTAAACATGCTGGATTTACTTTTTCCAAAAACATACTCATATAAAAAAAACCCAGTTGGTTGTCTAAAGCATACCAGTTGATCAATTATTCTGTCTTTACAAGGAACAGTTTGTGCTCTGAATTACACTTCTGGTTGGAGTGTCTGACTAAAAGACATTGCTTCTTTGTGATTGGTGATTTTTCTGGTCATAGGCTCAGGATTTCCAAGTTTCATTGCCTCTGCAGCCTTTGTATAGCCCCATCTAACTCCTGTAGGTAAGGACACTCAAGTCCCAGTAACAGTCAGTGCTGTATCACTTGCTGGGAGGGTGCTGTGGGCACCCCTGTTGATACTCAAAGCTGAGCACTTTTTGAAAAAGAGCTGTGGACCTGATTGCCACAAGTCTGTGTGGGGTTTGTGGGGAGTCTGAACTCAGCCCTGGGTCTCAGGAGCTGCCGAGAGTTCAGTGCTCCTGCAAAGGGTTTTCTAGCTGGTGTAGCACACATGATTCCCTAATACTGCTTTATGAGCAGTCAGAGAGGTAGACACCTGGCAGAAAGTATCATATAGCAGTGCTCCATAGGGTTTCCTTAGTTGCTTTGTGTGTTTTATTCTAGAGCTGCATAAAATACAGAAGTGACCCTGGAAGACGAATAGGATCTAGCATGTTTCTCTTGTACATCATTCTCCATCCCACTAGGCTTGAGTGTCATGTTTTCTCTGGGACAATGTGCCTTCAGTTTGTAGCTGAGTAGATGTGAGAGAGTTGTAAAAGGAAAAGAAGTGGGGGTGGCCAGTAGCAGAGGATGTTCATCCTTGTGAAGGTGGCTGGTTATTTTTTGGAGTATAGTGGGGGGAAATGTGTGTTAGTCCTAGGCAATGTGAAGCTTTTGGTGTCCTGAAGTAGCCAGCCGATTTTCAGAAACAAGAAGTTTAGGTTTAGTTTCGTATGTTCTTCCAGACTCCCATCAGTATTTTTTTTAATTTTTTTTTTTCACTCCAAAGTTTCTCTCTTGCCATTTCTCCGAGTGCATTGCTAGAACAATGAGGATGCACTCTTCAATTTCTGCCCTTTTTTTTGTCCTGTTTTCTCACTTCTTCACTGTGATTGAGAATGGCATATTGTAGTTTTTTGATAGCTCAGATGCCCAGTTCTGTACTGGATTTGTATATTACATCTCTCATAACTAAATTCAGTGTTATGTCTCTTTACTGAATTATTGTCATCCTTCTGCACCTTCCCAAAGAGCTTTAATATTTTACCTTGGTCTCTTTCTCAGATAGTGATTTCCCATTTGCTTTCCTGGGTGCAGCCTAATTTCTGACCATATTAACAGCAAACTGCTGACTATGCACTCAGAGTTCCTAATCAATACACTAACCCCATTTTCCATGCAGATCATTTCTATTACTTATGGGTCATCTTGTCTGCCTCACACCAGTTGTTACTGCACCATAGTAGCAACTCCAGCTACTACTGTGAGCAGACTTCTGTTGTAACTTCATTTAGGTAGTAATTCAACACTAAAATGTAGATTTGCTAAGAATGCATTTCTGGTAGGAAACCAAAGGACTTCTTAATTTGAGTCAAATTGAATGGAAAATTATGGCCAAAAGAAAAAAGGAAATAATAGGAAATTGGTTTTGGTAATGTCAGAATATTAATTTCAATATTTTCTTAATAAAATGTTCTGACTTTTCATGTCAAAATTGTCCAGTGTTTCTAGGGGGATCTGGGTAATCTGAGAACAAAGCATCTTGTTTAATTTGAAATAACCTTTTCTTCCTTACCTGAAAGAAAATCTGTTTCAAATCAAGGGGGGTGGGGAGGGATATATAAAAAAAAAAAAATCCAATCTTTCTCACAGCAGTGCTCATAACTGTATATCTGTAATGAGAAAAATGATTTTCTCCATTTTCTAATTTCCCTTCCTTAGTAGTGAAGGGTGTGCATTTTGCTAGCCTGGGAAAGTGTACTGGAGCAAGCTAGATGACTGTCTAAAGCCACAATAATCACCATTTATTGTGAAGGATTTTCAGAACTACTTTTCTGCAAATAACTCTATCCTTTCTGCAGTCAAAGGGAGTTTTCCCAATGCTGATTCTTTTAAGAAACATGGTGCAACCAGTCATTTTACCAGTGGGAACCTGCTCTTCAGAACTTCCATCATAAATCAGACTGAAGCAAAATTTGATTGGATATAAGATGATCTGTTAGATATTGGCCAACTTGTCTATGTTTTCAAAGCCATTCAGACACTGGGAATACTCAGCATTTTCTGGGACCCTGCA